TCCGATTCCAGAACGTATTTGGGACGACATCTCGCTGGACTTTATCGAGGGCCTACCTGTGATAACCCAGAGTACCGTAGGAGGGCGGGGAGTGATCGCCGGTGCAGAGGCACGGACAAGGGGCGGCTCCTGACGAGCTTCTCGGTAGGGGGTACAGGGATGAATCGAACACACCAGAATGAGAGAGATCCGAGGGTTGTATAGGTATGGGACTATACGGTCTAAGATAACATAAAAGAATTAGTTGAGCTACTCATAGTAACAAGGTACACCTACCTTTTTGGTTGACTATCCCGAGAGAACTCCAAAGTTAAGCGTGCTGACTCTGGAGCAATCTTAGGATGGATGACCTACTGGGAAGTGTCTCGGTATGCGTGCGAGTGAGGACAAAACACGCTGAAAGGTCTCGGGTTGCTGTGTGAGGGCAGTTTCGACAATTCGTAGCGGCAAACCCTTTTTTTTTGTCTGAGCTTCCCGAGCATTCTCGAATTCTTGTTCTTCCGTGCCCGCTTCGTGAGGATTCATCGTGGAGTCTACCTGCAAAGAAAAACAAGCAAAACAACCTACCCATGGCCATCTAACGTCCTATGATGCCTAGAATGTGAGAAGAATTATGATGCACGACGTTATAACACCGGTGAAAAACCCGTGTGATCACAATCAACTAGCCGTTAGAATCTCTTATGTTTGTCATGTTTCCTTTTGTTGTTTTGGTTCTTTTCCTTTATATTTGGTTGTATTTTCGAGCTGAACACATCAGATTTGAATAAGAACTTTTCTGCATTATTTTCTTTAGCTTTGGTGTGTCCAATTTCGCTAATCTCTTTGCTTGGTGTGTCCGAGCATTCCTTGGTCTATCCGAGGATATTCCTATCACTTCCTTAGCCCATTCACGTCACTCCTAGTTTTAGAAGTAAAGATCGAGTGCCTTAGAGCCATAGACTAACTTCTGAAATCTTTCCACCGATTACAATCGAGAATCACCGCCAAAACAGTTCCACCGGTGAAGAGGTAACACGACATCTCTTTCTATTACATTTTACTTTGAGTTCCTGTTTTGTTTTGATTTTTCTATTCACAAAACCTTGAGAAAAACAAAATAAAGAAGTAGAATGTCGGGAGAAGGAGACCCCAGCCACAACGCACTTGCACAAATTCTGCAAGACATACAAGAACGATTGGCACGACTAGAGGAGTTACCAAGGAGGCTAGAACCTATTCGGGTCAATTTTCCAAGGCGTGAAGAACCTGTACGAAACCAAGAACGCACACCCTCTGATCCTCCTCAACGACAAAGAGACCACAGGAACAATGTGTGACAACCCAGAGTACCGTAGGAGGGCGGGGAGTGATCGCCGGTGCAGAGGCACGGACAAGGGGCAGCTCCTGACGAGCTTCTGGGTAGGGGGTACAGGGATGAATCGAACACACCAGAATGAGAGAGATCCGAGGGTTGTATAGGTATGGGACTATACGGTCTAAGATAACATAAAAGAATTAGTTGAGCTACTCATAGTAACAAGGTACACCTACCTTTTTGGTTGACTATCCCGAGAGAACTCCAAAGTTAAGCGTGCTGACTCTGGAGCAATCTTAGGATGGATGACCTACTGGGAAGTGTCTCGGTATGCGTGCGAGTGAGGACAAAACACGCTGAAAGGTCCCGGGTTGCTGTGTGAGGGTAGTCTCGACAATTCGTAGCGGTCGCGGGTTGTTACAGATGGTATCAGAGCCGGTACTCTCCAAGTACGGTGTGGTTCGAGGACGAACCAGGCCGAAGCTGGTGGGCCTGTGACAACCCAGAGTACCGTAGGAGGGTGGGGAGTGATCGCCGGTGCAGAGGCACAGACAAGGGGCAGCTCCTGACGAGCTTCTGGGTAGGGGGTACGGGGATGAATCGAACAAACCGGAATGAGAGAGATCCGAGGGCTGTATAGGTATGGGACTATACGGTCTAAGATAACATAAAAGAATTAGTTGAGCTACTCATAGCAACAAGGTGCACCTACCTTTTTGGTTGACTATCCCGAGAGAACTCCAAAGTTAAGCATGCTGACTCTGGAGCAATCTTAGGATGGGTGACCTAGTGGAAAGTGTCTCGGTATGCGTGCAAGTGAGGACAAAACACGCTGAAAGGTCCCGGGTTGCTGTGTGAGGGTAGTCTCGACAATTCGTAGCGGTCGCGGGTCGTTACACTACCCAAATCTGAGGGTTTTGATGTTCTTATGGTGGTGGTGGATCGTCTAAGCAAGTACGCCCACCTGATTTGCTTGAAACACCCATTCACCGCGACTCGGGTTGCCCAGGTCTTCATCAAGGAGATTGTTCGGCTGCACGGATCCCACGCTCAATTGTTTCCGACCGAGACAAGATCTTTCTCAGTCACTTTTGGAAGGAATTGTTTCGTCTCGTGGGGACCAAGCTGAAATTCAGCACGGCTTATCATCCGCAAATGGATGGGCAGACCGAAGTGGTAAATCGCTGTTTGGAAACCTACCTGTGTTGCTATGCTTGGCACATCCTCGCACCTAGGCAAGGTTCGTTACTTGGGTAGAATTTTGGTACAACACTTCTTACCATACCTCCCTCAAGACATCTCCATTTCGGGCAGTTTATGGCAGAGAACCGCCGAGTTTAATCCGCTTTGAGCCAGGGTCGACGGCAAATTTTGAGCTGGAAAAAGAATTGCTGGAGCGTGATGCAATGCTAGGGGAATTACGCCACAATTTAGCTGAGGCGCAGAACCGAATGAAACAGATGGCTGATAAGTCCAGACGTGCACAAGAATTCCAAGTGGGAGAGTGGGTATTTCTGAAGTTACAGCCTTTCCGTCATCAGTCTGTAGCACACCATAGCAACCAGAAGTTGTCGCCACGTTTTTATGGGCCGTTCGAGATCGAAGCTCGGATTGGAATGGTTGCGTATCGACTTAAGCTGCCAGCGGACGCTCGCATTCACCCAGTTTTCCATGTTTCTCAACTGAAACAAGCCAGGGGTAGTCACTGTTCGCCAACGGCACTCCCTAGCACACTTTCTGCCAGTCTGCACGTCGCATTGGAACCTGCTGCCATCTTGGATTTTCGCTACAATCCAGAAGGATTTTTGGAGGTCTTGGTAGACTGGGTTGACTTACCACCACATGAGGCGTCGTGGGAACAAGCAGAGCTATTGGCGGGACAGTTTCCCCAATTCCAGCTTGGGGACAAGCTGAAGCTTCTTGCCGGGGGTATTGATAAGCTCATGAGAGTCTATACTAGGAAGAGGAGGCCCAAAGGGATATTGGCGGCCCAAGATCTGAGGGTGGGGGATCACAGCATCGGAACAGAAGATTCTACTGGAGGGGAAGCAACAGCACAAGGAATAATCACCTAGGCCAAAACCGTTATCGACACACTCTGTACGTGGTCAACAGGATGTTGCAGAAGGACACCTCAGCAGTTTGTTAGCAGAGGAGCAGCTATATTATGTTCGTATTTTCTTTGTAGAAATTATCTTTGAACTTTGATCATATTCTGGAAAAAGAGGTATGCCTCTTGGGATGATTGTATTTCCTCTTTGATTGAATACAATTGGTTATCTTTTATCTAAATCTACCTTTTGAATCTATCATATACGACTTGTGAATACATCATAAAAAAAAGTAAAATACAATATACATAACAACTTATGCCTTGGAATCTCACGATTTATTAAAAACAAATACAGAAAAATAAAAATAAAACAAATCCTTGGAAAAATCCCATGTGATAATACATCCATCCCAGCAGTTTGTAATAAAAAAAAAAACATGAATGTAGTCTTTTGTCTTCTGAGAATGCCTGGCCGGGTTTCACTTGCTTTCGCCGGAGCTTTCGTCGGTTTTCCAAACCACGTCGGTAAGTGACGTCGACAAGTTCTTGTAGAACTTCAAAGAACATAAGATTTTCAACACCATCAATGATTCGCATACTGAAAATTACAGATGGGCATTCGGTTCGGTTATTCATAAACCGAACCAAATAACACTTAACCGTAACCGAATGGCAAGGATATTTTTATAACCAAAAAGAAAACGAACTTGAACCGAATATATAAAAAAACCCGAAAAACCGTAAATTTCTTTCATCATTAAAAACCAAATCTGGACCGAATCTAATATAAATCCCGAACCAATAAAGATTTTTAAAGATTTTCTAAAACCGAAATGACCACTCGTACTGAAAATATCCAAGACATTGGTCTAAAACCTGTAAGAAACTGTGTTTTTACGTACCTTGTGGAATTCCAAGGTATCCCCTTTAGCTTTTCGGACTTCAACCATATGAAGAGATGGTGCTACTTGAAATATCTGCTTCAAACATATACATTCAACATCGGTTTAATGGTGAAAAAACCGAGATTTCCGGTTCGGAAAAAAAAGCTTACCTCGGTGGCCACTTTGAGGTTTCCTTTCCTTCCGACTTTCAAGTTTTCTAGCCTCATCTGGTTTCCAAACAACGAGAAAATCCCGTTTTCAGTGTTGTTTTTCTTACGGGAGAATGCTCTATGCATCGCAGGAAAACTTTCCTTTTTACCTTGTAGTTCTTCTTTTGGACATCGAAACCGAGTGGTTTGGCAGCTTCTTCGATCTTGTTTACTAGTTCATTTGCAGGGCATTTAGCTGCAAACCTCGTTTCCCGCTTGAATCCCTGAGACCATATGATAGAAAATTTCATCGGAAAGATTCGACACATGTAACTAAGTCACTATTCTAAAGGACATACTGCTTCTTCTTCGAATAAATTCCCGAGATCCAGAGCTTTCGACATCGATATCAACTCAAAGGCATTCATAGAGGCTGGCTGCACTTCTTTCTTCTCTGTAACATGATGCTCCTGTTTTTTCATCACGTTATGAACATTTTCCCGAGTAATACTAAAAAAAAAGCGCTTAACTGCCTTACAGATTTCGGAATACATGATTTCACTACTCACTTCTGAATCTTTAAAAACAGCTTCCACATCATCCAAGTTTGCATCTTCCTTCTCCTCGAACACGGCCGGTTTGTAACCTTTCTTAAACCACACATCTTCCAAGATCTCGGGTATTGTGATACGCTGGCATATTAAGATACAAAATCAATTATGCCAACCGAAGATATTAACAACGATACACATTAATTCTCAGCAAAACCCGTGACGGGAAAATTTTGAGATATATGTACTAGGTTTATAAAGTCTACGTTATGCCTATCCGTAGGGGCATTCAAACTTTCATGCTTAAATACGGGGAAAAGGTGTATCAGGCGTTTAGGTTCATCAAGATTTGCCATTAAGCTGAAAGCTCAAATTTTCCAACACTCAATTAAGGAATGGAAGTTCTGCCCGATAAAATAATAACTACTTGTTAAGCCCGAACACCTTATTGTCTAGACTAAAACCAAGCTGGGGTTATAGAATTTACGGGTCTAAATGTTGAAGAAGAAACAAAATACTTACAGTCATGGGGTTTGGATCCAAGATTCGAGAAATCAGCTTCTTAGCACCAGAAGATAGCCATGGAGGACAGTTGAACTCAGCAGCTGAGATCTGTAAAAACATAATGAAAGCTAACATCACAACTGAAATCGAGAGAATAACGGCGAGGGAAGAGACACTAAATAAGAAACCTTCTTACCTTTTTGTAGAGAGTCATGAGATTAGAGTCATCGAAAGGTAAATACCCTGCAAGTAGTACAAACAGTATGACTCCACAAGACCACAAATCTGCCGTTGCCCCATCATAACCTTGATCATTAAGAACCTGGAGAGAGAGAGAGAGACAAAGAACCAATTAAAGAACCGGACAGAAAATATTTTAGGACAAGATATAGGACAAAGCTTACCTCGGGAGCAGCATAGTTCGGAGTTCCACATGCAGTATGAAGAAGACCATCATCCTGTGAAATACGCCGTAAGTAAAGAAATTCCCAAACTCTAGGAGCAACCAGATAAATCTAAAGACTTCAGATCTTGGAAAATTACAATATGTTTTGCCTATTAATAGATGCACTCCATACATCAATCTCTTAACATATTCTAAACCTCACTTGTCATGTAACTATAACACCAGATTATAGTGACCACCTTGAATTGAATCCGTAAAGGATGAACCATAAATAAACAAGTTGCCACTTTAGCAGCTTAGCTTTATAATCTCTAATACGTTATTTAGAGGGCAAAAAGAGAAGTATTCCCTCATTTCGACCATCGGGTGACTAAATGCCCGTTCCCTAACTAGTCTTTGAAGATAAAAAATGAAGAATCAGACAAGTAATGAGAATTCAGACAAAGTAAAAACTCACTAAGAACAACTAATTCAACACTTTTACCCTGACTTGTTGGGAGAAGGCACTCAAACCAAAATCGGAGACTTTCAGGTTTCCGTGAGCATCTAAAAGCAAGTTCTCGGGCTGGGAGAGAAAAATGAAGATATTAGTTAACTGCAGAAGTAATGTAGATACTATGCAACTGGGTCTATGCATCGTTAAGACAAAACCTATGTTGCACCTTTAGGTCTCTGTGGTAAACACCTCTGCTGTGGCAGTAATCAACTGCATTGATAAGCTGCTGGAAATATCTCCGTGCTTCCTCTTCTTTCATTCGCCCGTGATTTACCTTCACAATATAACGAAAAGGTTTTATACAACATAAAACCACAAAGCGTTTCTCCTATACAAAATCCTGAAACACTGATCAAGATTCGTAAACATGACAAACGAGATGCAAGTAAGTCCTGTGGAAGAAACTCACAATTTTGTCAAAGAGCTCTCCACCAGTTACAAACTCTAGGACAATGTATATCTTTGTTTTGCTTGCCAAAACCTGAAATGACATCGATCAAAACAGGAACTGATAAACTTTTAATTCCCGGTTAGACATAAGAAAGCAAAAGAAACAGAGACAGCCAGAACGAGGAGGGAGGAGAGAGACCTCGTACAGTCGAACTACATTGGGATGGGTTATAAGCTTCATAGTTGAGATTTCTCTCCTTATCTGAGAAGGCAACCCAAAAAATAACTGTGACATACTTCGCAAATCGATCTAACTGTGAACATATATACCTTAGATAATAAACATGACAGTTCCTCTTACTAATAGACCAATCTAAGGCATATACCAAGTAAACATGACACAGAAATCTCGTTTTCTTTGTCCAGGAAAGAGTCAGATATGGCGGATCAAGGGGTAAAAAAAAACAGACAAAACACACAGATTTTACCTGTTCAGCCATCTTATGCTTCAGAACTTTCTCCTTGTCAAGGATTTTCAGAGCCACAGCCTCTCCTGTCTCGGAATTCCGAGCATACCTCACCTTTGCAAACGTACCTTCACCGATCGTTCTCCCCACCTCGTATTTTCCGACCCTACGTTTGACCTTTGGTTGACTCATGTTTCTACACTCACTTCTTGGTCGTCACAAGCTTTTCTCTGGAACGCTTACGAGGATTATCAGAAAATTTCCCCCGAGGAATTCAACAGAGCCAGCCAAAATGGCTCAAACCCACAACACATTCCCCCACCCCCACATCAAATCTTAAGGAAACTGTCGAAGAACATGTCCCTTAACACTCCACAGTAGCTCAAATCCACAAGAATTTCAGAATTATGCACATACGGGTTTATTGTTCGTGCAAACAAACGAATTCGAATTCTCGACCTAGGGTGTGGCAACATGATCATTCCTGTACACATATATACAGTAAATATCGCAACCCAATTCTTCTTACCAAATCTTATCTTGGAATTCACGTGAAACCCAGAAATACACAAAACGCTGTTTTGAGGATTAGCAAGCTTATACATACATACATACATATACACAATGGTAGACACATGTATCGATAGTGAAAGCAACATACCCGCAGATTGGCCGGAGGGTTGGTCCCGACGACGCACCTGAAACAGGAATTAACGGAGCCTGTCCGAAAATCAAGCAACTTGTGGAAAATTTTCCCAGAAAAATAAAAAACCACGGCACAAAATCACAATCATGGAGGAAAATTTCCTCAGGCTTAGAGGGAGGGAAGGCGAGATCTGATGAGGGAAAGGATGAAATGATCGTAAAGCGCTGCTCAGAAGAGCTCTTGCAAGCAGACAAAACACATTTATTGTATCTTTCGTGTGGGACAGTCGACTGCTCCGTCACCTCCACTTGTGGGGGAAAAAATACCTTCGAATACCAAATTTCGTCCCCCTTTTTTTCTTTTTCTTTTTTTTTTTCCTGTTTTGTTTGGTCAAAGTGAAATTTAATTATGTGACATAAGATTATGTTTCAAATCATTTTTAAATAATATTACGTATTTGGGTCACTTATTTTATTAAATAAAATTATCATATTTATAGTTCTTTCATTTTTTTCATATTTTAATTTCTGACAGAAATTTAGATTTTTCGCAATATTAACTACAAGTATCAAATTTTTCTTATACTTGTATATTTTTTTTCAAGTTTTGAATGATTAAAGAGTGACATGAATAAATAGATTATATTCATTGCAATTATATCACAATATACTGTTTATTTATTAATCAAGCTTTAGTTTTCAAAATTTCATAATAAATAAATAAAGGTATTAAAATTTCTAAATAAATATAAATATTTTTCATTTAATAACTAGCTATTTAAACATTTATATAAATGCAAATAATATTGTCATTTTAACAGATTAACTAAACAATGAAAATATTTATATTTGAAGTTAATAACTATTAATAATTGAATATCTATATTTATATGAATATTTCAAATATCTGTAATAAAAAGTATGAAATTATTTATATTTGGATTTTTATAAAATAGATTTATATACTCTTTTTTTGAAATTATATTATATTTGAGTTCCATTTAAATTGGTCCTTTATTAGTAAACATATATATTTAAAAATAGGTTTACTTTTAATTTTTTATTCATTTTGGTTTTATTTTATTTAGATTCGATAACATTTATTTTTACTGAAAATTTTAATTTTTAAAAAATATGATTATATTTCATTTCATGATATAATAAATTTTATGCACCTGATTTGGAGTCCTAATATTTAAACGAAATGAGTAGAATAACAAGAAACAAGTTCAGAACTAAAAACAAGTGCAGTGACAAAAAAAGAAAACAACAGAGAGGGCAAAAGCGTCAAATCTACACGGACGCTTTTTCTCTGGGATCCCTTGCATAACTCACAACATTCTCTCACGCGCTCTAAGCTCCTGAGGAATCACTGCAAAGAATTTTCTCTGTTCCCAAGCGGTAGGAAGGAAAAAAATAATCAATGGCGGATCAGCTCACCGACGATCAGATCTCTGAGTTCAAGGAAGCGTTCAGCCTCTTCGACAAGGACGGAGATGGTCTCTTCTCTCGGATCTCTCTTGCTCTTTTCTTTTTTCGTTCACGATTTCGCATTTGTTTGTCGATTTTGATCATCATTTCGTGCGATTCGTCTTGTTTTCGTGTGATTCGTGGAAGATCTAGCTTCATTTCGCGCATGTGTGTGCCTCGTGTTCTTGGTTGATTGTCCGATTGATTCGTTTTAGGGTTGGATGATTGTTCGTTTCCCACATTTCAGTAGTCGGGGACGATGTTGTGTATAACTTTCTCGTGTCTGCTTAGAAGATCGAGATTCCTGGTCGTTTCTTTTCCTATGATCTTCTCAGAGGTCATGTGATGGATTGAATGGACTTAGGAAGGATGCAGAAATGGGCCTTCTCCGTCAAACTTGCATGATGTCTTTTGTTGCGTCTGGAGAAACTGCTTGTGCCTATTTCGAGTTACTATTATAACTATTGAAAGGTCTGACGGAAAAAAGGATTGATTTTTGATTTTTGTGGATGTTTCTGTTCATAATGGAGATCAAAGTGCGTTGTGAACTAAATCAAATGGACCGCTTTATTCTTTTCCAATTCTGTTTCTGATCTCCAATTGCGGTGTGCCATCCTCTTCTTACGAATGGCCTTGTAAGCTTAGAGTTAGCTCATCATTGTCCTTTCCGCCTTTAATTGGAAGCCGATGATGGTCAAATTGTTGGGGTAAAGTGCCTATATCAATTCAGCTTTCCAGAATCCAGATTAGGAAGACTTGGGGGACAGATTTGTCTAGTGCATGTGTTAATAAACAAGAATCTGCCTTGCTAAGTTAGTAGAAGTTCTGGTGATACCAAGTTGATCTGCCTGAATCCTGTTGCAGGGTGCATCACTACCAAGGAGCTTGGGACAGTGATGAGATCTCTCGGGCAGAACCCAACGGAAGCTGAGCTGCAAGACATGATTAATGAGGTGGACGCAGATGGAAATGGTACCATCGACTTCCCGGAGTTCCTGAACCTGATGGCACGTAAGATGAAGGACACTGATTCGGAGGAAGAGCTGAAAGAAGCCTTCAGGGTGTTTGACAAGGACCAGAACGGTTTCATCTCAGCTGCCGAGCTCCGGCACGTGATGACAAATCTTGGTGAGAAGCTGACGGACGAGGAAGTTGACGAGATGATCCGAGAGGCTGATGTGGACGGCGACGGCCAGATCAACTACGAGGAGTTTGTCAAAGTCATGATGGCCAAGTGAGAATCTATCCCCTTTTGTTAAACCAAAAAAATCAGATGTCCCAAATCCCCTTTCCTATCCGGGAAGAATATTTATGGAAAAAAGAACCAACAAGAGAAGAATCGGAGAGGTGTAATGACATTTTCTATAATCTGTTTGCCTTTGGGTTAGAACATGTTTTTTTTTTTTATAAGGGTTAGTGATTCCATTCCATCAAAAACTTTCTTTACAAATGCTTTTCTTTTTGTTGGTTATAACATGTTTGGTTTTCTTCTTGATGATTTTAGTTTTGCACTCGTTGTTTTGTGTTGTTTTTGCCCCGTGTTTAAGGTTACGGAGCTTTTAGAGTTTTTAGATTTCAAAAATAAAAAAAATTAACCAATCAACTTTTTATAAATTTGGTTTTTCTAAAGATTTGAAAAACCATTTTGATATTTTTTGGATTTACAAAAACCAAAATCCAAAAACCAAAAACAAAAAATTCAGAGAGTGTTGAGGTTAGTTTTGATTCTGTCTTATCTCATGCATTGTCTGTTGTTTTTTTTTTAATAAGCAAATAGACGAATCGTATCAATGTCAATCTAATAGGATATAAAAGTCAAATGCTTAATACAAATTCTTCGAATCGAAACGAATAAAGAAAGAGTAAAAAATAATATTTAAGCGAAAAATTTTAATTTTGAATTTATTTAAATAATATCTGATAAAATATAAAATTTTATCTTTAAAAAGTATAATCATTTACAATTATTTTTTTCTAAAATACCTTGAATTCTAACAGCGTTAACTAATTAACGTTTTTTTTTACCCTATGAAACTAATCTGGTTTTATCAAATTTTCCACATCAGTGTTAGGTGATCAAAGTACAGAAAAAATGTAAAAATGTAAAATACAAAATACAAAAAATATATCATATATATATGTACACTGACAAATATATACACTTATACATTTCCATAATTTTGATGTTGTTTGTATTTTCTATTTATTATTTATTTCATTTGATGCGGTAAATTTTCGTGTGATACTGAAATTGAAAATCGACAAGCCAAATCAGCTACGTTCTTCGAAAAACATTACTCAATTTGTCATTAGATATCGCATAATAATTAGAGAGAAAATTATAAATTGATTATTTTTATTGAAGATAAAAAAAATATTTTTGACAAAACTTTAACAAATTTATTTATTTAATTTTTTCTTTTTTAAATAAATATTTTATCAATAAAAATCAATCAGAATTGAAATAAAATGAATTATTTTATTCGTACAACTCTGATAAAGAAAAATAAAAAATAGAATCAAATAATATCTTATTTAATCAATATAGATATGCAAAATATAGAAATAAAATCAAATCTAAATATCATATAATATTCTAATATAATCTTTATATCTTTTGATATTTTCAAAAATATTCTTCGTATCTTGATAATTATCACGTTGTTACTCCACTTTTATTGGACTTTTTTTTTTATTATTATTAAAGAGTAACAATATGGGTAGCGTGAATTTATTTAACAAGAGGTATAAGTTTTTTTAACAGACAAAAACGCGTTTTCTTTTTCTTTTTTTCATGTATAATAAAGGAAAAATCTTTAAAAAAATCGTCAAGATAATTCCGAATATTTTCAACTTCTAAATTCATATTTATCTTTTAAATTTTGACAAAAAATATAGATAATTTGAGTTTTTGACAAAACCCTAATCTGAGTGCAAACGACGTTAACTATTTTGACAGAAGACGCTTACGTGATTTTTATTAACTTGATACATAGGATTTCACGTTAGATGAAGTTTGTCCGCTGAATAAAATTCTATCGGAATGGTCAATATCTTTTTTTCAAACATTTATATATTCATTTGTTTATTTTATCATCAAGACTTTGGCTAAGATTGGTGTTTTCAAACATTTTTTAAATATGAAGACTTTTTCTGATTTTTATCTTGTAAAATTCAGCAAAAACAAATATATGAGGATAGAAAAAAGTTTTAAAATAAATAGATTAGTTTTTAAAATATAAATGTAATGTTATCTAATATTTTATAAAGAAACTTGATAATATTCTTAAAAATATTTACATATTAAAGATCGATTCTAAAATCATCTGACTACACGGTTCCCACGCCGACTTGATATAGTAGGGTTAGACTGACCTTTTTTTTTTTTTCTTTTTTTTTTTTTTCTTTAGTGTTGTCTATATATTTGAGGGCTTGCTCTTCATCTCCTCGTTTTCTTCAGCAAACTCTCTCGTTCTTCTCCTCGTTCTCTTCCTGTTCCCTTTTCAGAGATTCACCCTCTCTCTCGTCGCGTGCGTATCTGTTACGCTTAGGAATTTGGTATTCTACATTGCTCTCTGCTTCGAAGAGTAAGTATTCCAATCTGGTTCTCGATCTCGGCAGGCGTTGGGTTGTTCTCGTTCTCGTTTGATCCAATCGAATTGGTTCCGGGTTTTTTCGTTAGGGTTTCTATGGATTTGAAGTTTCTGAAGATGGCGAAGGAGACTGAGAGATCATTGGTGGATGATCAAGTGGTGGCCGCCGACGCCGAGACCAAGTCGCCGTGGAAGACTACGGAGCCTCCCGCAGATACTGTCGACCCTTCGGTAATGGGGGCTGACTCGTGGCCTGCACTCGCCGACGCGCAACAACCTCGACCGCGGGATCCGCCCCCTCCGCCGGAGGCTGCCAAAAGGATCACGGCTTCGACTCCCACCGCCGCTCAGGTTTTGCTGTTTATTTTACAATGCTGGTTACGGGGTTTTTACTTCCTACTCTTATGTTTTCATCATTCTGTCTTTTAGATTTCTGCCCCTTTTGGATTAAAGAACATTGCATATTCAAGCATGAACTTTGCCGCTCGCTTGACATAAATTTCTTGCTGTTTTGGACGGTATAGGCTGTAACTGGAGTGCCAAGATCACAAGCCGGTGGAAACACTAATCCTACTCACCGGAATCCATCTGGCCACCATCCAAAACCAGTCTATAGGCGCAGCCAAAATGCTCAACCGCCTTATCTTGTACACCCAGTACATTACATTCAGCCA